GTTGTACACCTCGAATGCAGATCTGGAGCCTTTTGAGATCTGCAGAGGTGTCGAAGGTAGTAGTGTCGGCAGTGACGAAGAGCCTTCGAACATGGAGATGAAGAACAACGGTGTTAGAATAGAGGTTTCTTGGCGAAGTAAGGTGGTTGCGATGGAGGATAAGCGGCGGCGATGATGGAGATCGAAAATAGGGGACAACAATGATTAGGGTTTGAGGGCCATGCTAACAAGTGCCGATCTCTCAGTAACTTGTTCAAGGAGGTAGGTATCTAATTTGATATAATTGTTCATATGGAGGTAGGTTGAGTAATTACTACGATTCGCTAGAAAATTACTCTGATTTTATTTTCTCTCTTTCATATATCAATCACAATTTGCATTTTAGTGTCACTTTCAAACTCAAATTGATGCTTATATTCTGGATTCTGGATTGCCGATTCTTCATCATCAATTGATACTGTTTCTTCTCAAATTGTAAGTGGTTGTAAAGAAATTCGTTCTCAGTATTTTAATACATATATGTTTTTTTTTTCTTTCAGATCAAACCCGAGCATCAATCAACAGTAATGCACAGATCAACATGAGCTTATTCATAGTTTATATATATATATATGCACAAAAGCAATGTATGTGCCATGACCTGTTGAAGCTTGGGCTTTGTTGAGAAAGACTACCAGGCACAATAAACTGCAATCCCACTAAAGATGAGAGAGATAGAGAATGGGTGTTTTAGAGAGAGAAAGAATATAGACTCAACCTCTTCTGGTGTTTTGATAGCAATGAGAAAACTAGTGTTGGCAAGAGAAATATCTAGAAATAGGTTTGTGGAGAGAGATATTCAATTTCAACAGATAGAGAATTGTCCTTTATTTTCTTTGTTCTTTATTGTTGTTGTTGTTGTTAAGAAACAGATTGCAATTGAACAGATATGTTTAAAAGATAGATATAAATTTGAATGGATAGGAGTAAAAATTCAAACAGATAAAAAAAAAAGATTGGTGAATTTAACAGAGAAGAGAAAAAATTGAACAGATAATAAAATTAGACATATATTTGAACAGATAAGGGAAAAAAATTGAACAGAAAGAAAAAAAATTTAACATATAGACAAAAGATTTGAACAGATAAAAGATAATTTGAACAAGTAGATATGAATTTGAACATATAATCAACGAAAATAAACCGATAAAAAAAGTCAACATATAAATTAAGAGGTAAAATTGAAAATAAAATGTTCTTTCTAGACAATGAAAGTACTTCTCACCAAACTACAAAGGGTCTCACCAATAAAAAAATGTCCACTAAATCTAATGCCTCATATTATCTTTAGATTATATTTATCACCAATTTACTCATTTTCTTTTCCTTTTTGAAAACGAATTACTGTTTTACTTAAGTTAAAGGTTGCCTAAAAAATATTACAAAATTGAAATTCACAATTTAGTTCTTTATCTTTCAGCACTAATAAAGTAAACAATAATATCAGTATTAAAACATATTAATAGGGATGAATCTAGAATTCTAACAATGGATTGAATATATACTAGCCAAAATTTGAAAAAAAATATTATTGACTAAAACTTAAATTTCTATGAACCAAAAAAAAAAAAAAAAGAAAAACATATTATGCAAAAGCATAAATAAATAGGTATTTTTTTTATATCTTTCTCTTGAATTACAAAAGATAGCAATTTTAACACATTCTATCAATACTAGTTGTGAGAAACCAAAGCAATTTTTTTTAAGAGGTTATCTTTTGCCCAAATTATTAATTTTATACTTTTTGCATGATGTTTCATATATATAGATATATAGAATGTATGGATTGTGGAACTAATTAATCTTTCTTAAAACATAAATAGGGTAAATTCATATAATTTTAAAATAATTAATAGCTAATACTAATATATGAGTGAGTGAACTCGTAAGGGGGCGATTGCTCCTAGATCTATAATTGATGAGACACATATATTTGTGAAGGAAGAGAATCCCCTCTAGTCCAGATTTTGGATTGGACGTTGTTTGGGCCCCGTGTGGCCTATTACGGCTTCCGTTTCGATGATCCGAACAGTTTATTTTGTCAAGTATGTCACGTATTTCATCCAAAAAAAAAAAAAAGGTCGATCGATAACTATAACTTATTTAATTTATGGTGTTTGTCACTAAAAAGATGTATGATTTATTTTTAAAAACACAGTTATCGAATCGACCTAATTTTTTTATAGAAGAAATTCACGAAGTACCCGACAAAATCAATAGTTTGAATTATCGAAACGAAACATGTGATGGGCCACACAGGTCCAAACAACACCTCTGATCCAAAATTTGGACTGGAGGGGATCTTATTGCTGCATTTGAAAGAAGAAGAAGAAAAAAAAAAGGGGCAAATTACACTTTTCCCCCCCTATAACTTGATTCAAATTTTACTTTGATTCATATTATTTTAGTTTGAATAATTTAATTCCTACACTTTAAGTTTAATTTCAATTTAGTCATTCCATCTAAATTTCTGTTAATTTTTTCTGTCTAAACACTCCAAGAAATTAACAACTATTTCAAAATTATCAATTTTAACCTTTAACTCGAAATGAAAGACCAAATCAACACTAGATTTGAAGGGTAAGATTAAATTATTTAATTTAAAGTAAAATTGAAATAAAAATACAAGAGTTAAACGTGTAATTTATCGTTAAAAAAATTTATGCCATGCAGAGAAAATCCCATTCATCACCTTACCAAAGTTGTTAGAAGCTTGTAAAGCGGTTCAACCTGTTTACAAGTATTGTTTAGTTTCTACCGAGTTTCTTACATTTCTTCTTCCATTTGTCGCAGCAAAGACATTAATTATCATGTTCATATGGTATCCCGACATTGGCACAATTGTCATTTTCATCATAAATATTATTTTTTTTCACAAAAAATTAAATCTAAATATTATTTGTGTCCACATTATGAAAGAAGAACTACTAAAATTTGACATTTTACTAAATTTTGTGTTAAACTTGATATAAAATTTACCAATGGCATATATTGACAACTCCTTTCTTCCGAACTTCATTTGAGCATCTTCAACCCAATACTCTCAATTAGAAGATGGAAATTTAAAAAAAATTATTTAAAAAGTGAATGTAGAGTATCTCACTATTCACTCAAACTCCAACTACAAATCTTCATTTTCGTCTCTAAAGATTTTCCCAATTTTTTTTCTCTCAAAAAGTGAGTAATTTTTGTCCATTAATAAATATTTAATTAAAGTTTTTGTATGATTTCACTCTTTTTAATGATATCAACTTTATAAAAATTAAATGTACATATTAAAAATTATTTGTATTTTATAAAATATAACCAAAAATACAAAAAAAGAAAAAAAGAAAAAAAAAAAGATTGGTGGAAGAGGTTGAAAGGAAAGGTTTTGAGGACAAAATTGGCATTTTAGAAAATAAATAATGTTATGGAGATATTCCTATATTTCTCACTATCTCTATATTTGGAGAATCAACTCATCCTCCTCCCAAATGGAGATGGTTTTAGAGGATGGATTGGAGGTAACAATCCTTCATATATGAAGATACTCTCTACTAGAAGATTATTTTATTCAAAAAGTGAATATAGAATATCCCACTATTCACTCAAACTCCAATCACAAATCTTCATTTTCTTCTCTAAAGATTTCTCTCCAAAATATTTACCTTAAAAAGTGAATAATTTTTGTTCATTAATAAATTTTTAATTTTCAAATTTTTGTTCAATATATTTAATAGAGGAAATTTCATTTTACCCCCACATTATACCTTGATGATCAATTTAACCCCTATATTTATTATAATTTCAATTTTATACCTAAATTATTTGATTTTGGATCAATTTTATCCCTTCCGTTAAATGCCTTTTATAATCAAATGGAAGTTGCTACCGTGGCACTGAAATTTCATTTGAAATTTTATTTTGCCCTCCAGACTATCTCAAGTTTGGGGTCTAATTGACGGTTTGGGGTAAAATGACATCTCGAATGAAGACAGCAGCAAAAGTCATCTAATTATAGACGACAACTGACAGCAAAGGTGAAATTGATCCAAAATTGAATAGTTTAGGTGTAAATTTGAAACAGAGCTGATAGAGAGCTCTAATAGAGTTGCTCTAAAAGCAGCTCTAGTGAGCTGGCAATGCATGAAAAATAAAAAATAAAATAAAAAAAGGAAAAAGACAAAACAGAACAAGGAAAAAGACAAATTAATGCTATTTTAGAGCTCTAAAACATTTTTCAAATTTGAAATTATAAGAAGTACAAGGGTTAAATTGATTATCGAGGTATAATTTAGGAGATAAAATGATATTTCCTGTATTTAATATTAAACTCGTTTTAAAGATATAGTTTTGCTCTTTTTAATGATATCAACTTTATAAAAGTTAAATATACATGTTAAAAGTTATTTGTATTTTATAACATGGAAATGGTTTTAGAGAACGGGTTGGAGGAATAAATCCTTCATATATAAAGATATAGAAGGTGGATTAGAGATGTTCTAACGAAGTTATTATAATTGGGAAAATTTCAATTCAGGATGATTTTGAAAAATAATTACAAATAAACAGTAAATTTTATAAATATTAATAATTAAAAATATTATTTTTTCCATAAATTTATAATAATTTTATGAAACTATCACTCATCCATAATTTTCCCATTATAATTTAGCAATAACAATTACAGTCATGGAGTTAGTTTTTCTAACAACTGTTTTTATTTTCTATCAAAATTTTCTTTTAAGGAAAATGTTTGGTGGCCACAAATTATGTGGCTCAAATGGCCCGAAACTGTCAAAACGACGTCGTTTTGCACCCAAAACGATCGTTTTGAATGTTTTGAGCCATTTGAGCCACAGAATTTGTGACCACCTAGCATTGCTGTTCTTTTAAAGTCCCACTAGCTAGCTGCCACTCAAGTAAAAGGAAAGGAAATGAGTAAAAATGTTGCAAAATGGGCCATTGACAATGAGAGGCCATTATTTTTTTCTCTATGATTATGATTTCAAAAGTAGAGAACAGAGAGAAGCATCCAAAATCATATTCTTTATTCAATCAGGGCCGGCTCTGAATTTCCTCTCTCTCTCTCTCTCGCTCTCTAATATTGCTCTGTTTCATACATTCCTTCCTGGGATCTTTTGCAGCAAAGACGAGTAGACATGGCAGTGGTGGGAATCTTCGTCTCTCCCTTGCTAAAAGCTGTGATTAACAAGCTGTTGTCCTCTGATTTAATCGACTTGGCACGTCAAGGCGGTGTCGACACTTCCATCAAGAAGCTAAAGAAGTCATTTGAAGATATAAATGATGTTCTTGCTGATGCAGAGGACAAGCAGATATCCGACAAGTCTGTCAATAAGTGGCTGAAAGAGCTCCAGCATTTGGCTTACGATGCGGACGATGTGTTGGACGAGTTTGCCACTGAAGTTCTACGCAAGAAGCTGATCATGGCAGATGCTGATGTTGGTGAGGCCAGCACTAGTAGTAAGGTACGACGATTCCTCCTTCCTACTTGTTGCACTGGTTTTACTCCAACTCCGATTTCATTCAATTTCGCAATTGGGTCTAAGTTAAAGGAGACCAATGGTCAGTTACAAGATGTTACTACAAGAATTAAGGAACTTGGTTTGGTCAAAAGGGCTATTGGGGGGATGAAGTCTACAAATGTGTTGCAGAGACCAGAAACTACATATTTGGTGAAAGAGCCTTGTGTTTATGGCAGAGAAGAAAAGAAAAAACAGATTATTGAATTGCTTCTCAGAGATGCAGCAACTCAAAACAAAGTCGATGTCATTCCCATCACCGGCATGGGTGGGATTGGCAAGACTACTCTGGCTCAACTCATTTGCGATGATAATGGTGTCAAAAACCAGTTCGATCTGAAAGCGTGGGTTTGTGTATCTGACGAGTTTGACGTTAAGAGAATAACAAAGGCAATTCTGGAGTCATTCACTCTCGCTCCATGCAATTTGACAGAGTTAAGTGCCCTTCAACGTGAACTTGAGGACACACTGACAGGAAAAAAGTTTTTGCTTGTCCTAGATGATGTGTGGAACCATAGATATGAAGAGTGGAGTTTACTACAATCTCCGTTTCTTCGAGCCGGAGCACATGGAAGTAAAATCATTGTGACAACACGAATCACGACTGTTGCGCAACAGGTGGGTACAACTGAACACCACGATTTGAAAGAGTTATCACCTGATGATTGCTGGTCAATCTTTGCCCAACATGCATTCAAGAATATAAATATTAGTGAACATCCAGAATTGGAATCAATTGGTAGGCAAATTGTTGCTAAGTGCGGAGGCTTGCCACTGGCAGCAAGGGCTCTCGGTGGCTTATTACAATGTAACCAAAATGAGCATGAATGGAAAATGGTACTAACTAGCAATATATGGGATAAACCATACGAGGAAAGCCACATTCTCCCATCACTAAAATTGAGCTATCATCATCTCCCTTCCCATTTGAAGAGGTGCTTTGGTTATTGTGCAATTGTCCCAAAGGATTACGAATTTGGGAAGGATGAATTAGTCTTGTTATGGATGGCAGAAGGTTTAATTGAACACCCAGAAAATGGAGAACAAATAGAAGATGTTGGCCGTAGGTATTTTCACGAATTGGTGTCTAGGTCATTTTTCCAATTGTCAAGGCATGATGAATTGCTATTCATAATGCATGACCTCATCAATGATTTGGCTCAAGCAGTTACAGGGGACATCTGTTTTAGGTTGGAGAATAATTTAGAGGGTGGCAAGCAGAACAAGATTTCAGGCAAAGCTCGACATTCATCTTATGTTGGTAGTGAATATGAAGGAATCAGAAAATTCAAAGCTTTCGATGATGCCAGATGCTTACGAACCTTCTTAAGGTTTTCGCCGAGTGTATTCAACTACACAACAAGGTACTTGATTCATGATTTGTTGCCAACGTTAAAGTGCTTACGTGAGTTGCGTTTTTATTGTTATGGGATTGATGAACTACCAGATTCCATTGGAGATCTAAAGCATCTACGGTACCTTGATGTATCCCATTCGCGAATTAGGAAGTTACCTGATTCGGTGGTAACTCTCTACAATTTACAAGTCTTGTTTTTGAAATTTTGTGTTAAACTTGAGAAGTTGCCTCTAAACATGGGGAGGCTAGTGAACTTGCGCCATTTTGACATGACTGGTGTGGATATTCTATCATCAGAAAAGATGTCGCTACATATAGGTAAATTAACTAATCTCCAAACATTGTCAAATTTTATAGTGGGTAACGATTGTGGGCGTAAAATAGGAGAGTTGAAAAGCTTATCACACATTCGAGGGGCAATACACATATCAAGAATGCAGAATGTCAATGGTGTTAAGGATGCAATAGATGCCAATTTAATGTCTAAGGAGAAGTTAAAAGAGTTATCACTAGAATGGGATGAATCTCGTAGTTCACAGAATGACATAGTTGAGAGGGATGTGCTTGACGTGATGAGGCCTTTCAAATTTTTGGAACGACTCACCATCAGTGGGTATCGTAGTACAAAATTTCCAAACTGGGTTGGAGATGTTTCATTCTCTAAAATGGTATTCATGCGATTAGAAGGTAGTAAATATTGCACATCATTGCCACCACTTGGACAACTGCCCGTGCTTAAAGACCTTTACATTGAAGGAATGAGTACAATAAAGTGCCTTGGTTGTGAGTTCTATGGGCAGCAGTGTGGTGCCAAACCTTTCCCCTCTCTAGAGAGACTGAGCTTTGAGTTTATGACAGAATGGGAGGATTGGTCTGCTTTTGAAACAGAGGGAGTTCAGCCTAATTTTTTTGGGTGGTTAAAATTAGTTGGATTTTTGTTTGTTAGGTAAGTAGTCATTTTTGTATTATTGATGAAATTTTTTGGGTGGTTAATATGTATATGTATATGTTTGTGATTAATTAGTCGCTATTATTTGTATAGTGTAGGCACCTACATTTTCTATTAGTTGCAAAATCAAACTTCAAATTATAGTCGTGTTCTTTTGGCTTCCAGCTTAGAATCGACCATTGTGCAAGTCTGATCTCTTTTCCAATGAAAGGTTTGCCATCTATGCTGAGAGAACTTACTGTTTTAACATGTAATGCTTTGGAGTCCCTACCCGAGTTGATGACACTCAATAATCTGCTAGAGTTGCAGGTTTCTAGCTGTGAATCACTCACGTATTTATTGTCAAGAGGGGGGCTACCATCCACACTAAAAAAACTTTGTATTCATTCGTGTGCAAAGCTGGAGTCACTTTTTGCAGAGGAAGGGATCAAAATTGATTGTCTATCTCTTGAAACTATTTATATCGGAGAATGTGGGAGACTCGAATCTTTACCTGAAGCCAATAATCTTAGGAATCTCAGTGAATTGTGGATAACAGGTTGTCCTAATGTGGAGCCCCGGTCACTTGGTGGTCGTGATGAGAACAACAACATCAACCAACTCACTTCACTTCAAAAGCTGCGGTTAGTTGATTGCAGAGCAGGAATGGTCTCCTACTTTGTCAAGGAAGGGAGTTTCCCCACCAACATCACTTCACTTGAAATCGGGAAATTGAGAGTGGACGACGTCGGTCAACTTCCACTTCCGCCTCCATCTCCATTAGAGTGGGGTTTGCACAAACTCTCTTCTCTTACAACACTCGAACTTGAAGGCCGAGGTTGGCCGTGGGGAGATACGGTGTCCTTTCCAGAAAAAGGGATGTTCCTGCCCACCTCTCTCATCAAATTGACCATCAGAGGCTTCCCAAATCTGGGAAGACTCTCTTATGAGAAGTTTCAAAACCTCGCCTCTCTCCAATCACTTGAAATCTGGTATTGCCCTATGTTCGCGTCCTTTCCAAAGGAAGGGTTGCCTCCCTCTCTTTTGCATCTATGGATCGGTGACTGCCCTGAGCTTGCGACCTTTCCAGAACAAGGATTCCCTCCCTCGCTTTTGTCAGTGTGGATCAGGGGATGTAATCCAAGGTACAAACAAAAAAATTCAAAATCTGTACTACCATTTTTATTTATTTATTTATTTATATTCTCATTACCATTTTCGGATTTTTTTCACAATTGAGGATTTATTTATATTTGCATCCTCTACCATCACAATATAAAAATCAAAAAAGTACAATTAAAAATAATAAATTTTAAATTTAAACTTTGAATTTTAAATTTGATCTTATACATATCAAATAATTTGTTTGAGTTTAACATTTAAATTTTTATCAAACAACTTTTCAACTTACAAACAAGCAAACACAAAATCTGTCATACCTATATTGGAGCATGTATATATTTTATTTATTAAATTATTAAATATATAATTATATTCTAAAAATTATTTTTTTTCTATTTAGTTAGTTGTAATATATTCGTTAAAAAATGAATTTTTATTGGAGATTGATATCAATTACAAATTGTTTTTATTCAGTATAAATAAATATTATGTAAATAGAAAGTACTATAATAAGTTTGAGTTGTTTTTCTTTTATTTCTTTAAGATTTGTATGCTTGAAAGATTCTATCGCAGTTAAAAGCAAGTTTATTCCTAAAAATGAGCAAGTTTCTTCTGGTTTCTTATTTGAAAGCATGAAATTGTGTTTCTTAAGAAGCATCACCAAATTAAAAGTTTCCTGCTACTATGGTCTGTGTTACTATGGTCTGGTCAACTCAAATTGATCATTTTGTGTCTTCAACTACATCTCCACATCAACTATAATAATTCTGATTTATAGCTTCTATTTTTCACTTGTATCAACACAACAATGTTTTTACGTTCATTCCTTTTTCTTTTCCTTTCAAATATTTCATTTTCCTTTTTTTTTTATCTATATACCTCTACTGAATGGATGAATTTCATTCTCATTTTTATTTTATTTTTACCCTGACTCTACTATAGGCATGTAGTTGTGACTTTGAATACTATGCTCTTTTTGTTGTTCAACTTGTAAAAGTTTATTTTTCTATATTTTCTCAGTTTCTTGTGAAAAAATATTAAAAATATGCCTTGTTTGGTTTAGTTTTGAAAACATTTTTTGAGGGCTCAAAACCCAAAATTTGTTTGGTTTACAATTTTCCCAAAATTGTTTTCAATCACTTTTTCTATCTCACATCCTACACATCAATCAATCACTTTTTCTCTCACACCCATCTATTTAACTACAAAAAAATTTCAAATCATTCCAAACTACAAACCTACAAAACTAATTTCAAAATATATAACCAAATAAATTTTCAAATTTTGAAAACTCTTTTCAATCTTATCTTTCAAAACTAAACCAAATGCAGCCTTTTGTGGATAGTTTAAATGGTGAAACCCACTAACTATTGTTGTTATCACCTTTTTGTTCTTCTGGGCTTTGTTGTTGTGGAAACGAACTTTAGGATGTATTCATACTTACTGTCTAAGCTGCATTGCAAGGTTTTGTGCCTCTTTTCAAGGTATGCCAAAATTATTCTTGGTAAAGACTTTGGCTGCTCTGATTTAACTCAATGCTTCTTGGCTTTGGAGAGAGCTACAATTTTGAATTCAAAGGGTCACTATTTTTTGAGTTTGAGTTGTCATGAGTTTTTTATTTTTATTTTAATTTCTTTTCAAAATATATTCATATACTATTGTCCAGTCATGACAAAAGTTCTCATAAGTAACAAAGGAGCAAGAGATATATGAAGAAAATTGAGAATAAAGTCCTTTCCTGTGACTACAATTGTAAATGCCTCCCTACTGCACATTGTCATGCAAGACTTTTGATCATTAAGACTTCCATGCCTTGCAAGAAGGGATTTTTTTTTAATATCAAGTTGTATTTTTAAACCATCCTGCTTGCATGCTGGATTACATTTGACAGTTACAAAGCCACACGTAATCTTGTCAAAATCCATGTAGGCAATCTGTTCTAGTAGTTGGAGGGATTTAGGCTTCCTTTATTAAATGGGAGTTGAGAAGCCACCTACCCTACTTGGAGTATTATTTAGAATTCAAATACTAGGCAAATATTTAAAAAAATATAGGAAACTATTAGAAATTGGTATACCTATAGAGTTTTTGTGTTTGTTTGTTTAAATTTACATGTTGATTTGTTTAGACTTGTCATGAAGTGGGCGATATAGAAAACAATAAGAAGAAAACATAAGAGGAAGTTCATCTAATAATAACAAATAGTTCTCTAATCTTTGATAAAATCGGGTTCTTTCCGAATGGGGTTGACCAAAGACTGAAGTGCCTAAGCAGACACTAGAGAGAAATCCTCGCCACTTTGCCACTCCAAAAATCTTCCGGCAAACTCCAAAACATGAAATATTAAAAAATGTTTGGAATGAGAGTCTTAGTTTTAGATATATTTATTCTACTAGGTCATAGGATATTTAAAAAATATTCGATTACACTGTACAAGCTTGGTGCCACATTAGGAAGATATTTCTTATAGTTTGTATTTGCCTAAATGCTATTGATCAGTGAAGGGATAAGTTTGTCATTCATCAATGAAGGGATCAGTTTTGGCTTGAAAATGTAGAGTAGAATATCAGCTTCCAAATCTCATACTGTTTCTGAATTTACAAAAGAAAACCTGCATAATGCTTTCAAAAATGGTATTACGACAGAACATGCAAGTATTAATTCCTACTTGTCTGTAATTTTTAATCTTATCTTTTGAGACCAAACTTTTTCTTAGCTACTCTAACAGGTAAAACATGAAATAATTAAGCTAAAAAAAATGAAAGGACTTCCAAGTAATGATAGTTAATGAAATGATAAAATTTGGCCCTTTACTTGTGGTTTCCTTTAAAAGAGCTTGAGCTTGGTTGCAATTTCAATTTATTTTTTGTTAAGCAAATTTGCTTGCTTTCTAGGATATAACTCATTTCCACTACAATTGTGTTCATGTATATTACTTCAAACATCTTATCAACTTATGGATTTGTTTCCATAGCTTGCAGTAAGTTTTTAAGGATGCTTGCAACTTTGCTGGAGAATGTGGGGGTTTGTTATGGAAAGATTCAAGATAGATGGCAAAGAAGGCAAAAATACTAGTGCACATTTGAGAATTTCCACGTGATCAATGGCAATAGAAAGCACAGAAAATGAAAGAAAGAAGAAGAGAAGAGAGAAATTGTACATAGTGGCTTTTTGGCTGCTTAGCTTGGTGGGATGGGATTTTAATAAGGCTCTTTGAGCTAAGCAAGGTTGGCGGTTGCTTATTATCCAAATTCAAATTTTCTTGAAGCTAGCTTGAGGAGTAACCCATTGACATTGTTTAGAGGAGTATTTGGAGTGCAAAGTCTTTTTTGGAGGTTACACTGCACTGGCATATTGGGAATGAAAGGTCTATGAAGATTTGGAAAGATATATGGATTCCAAGGCCTTACTCTTACAAACCTATTTCTGTAACTGTAATAACCCCGACCTCCGATTAATACTAACCCATGATTAATTATGCCTAACAGTAATTTAGAAGGAATCCGGAATTAATTTCATATGTATTGCATTATCTTATTGTTTCTATCTGTTTGCCATAAAATAATCTGTTCATGTTCTGACTTTGAACTGCGAATTGAAAGCCTTTTCGGCGCCCGATTTTGAAATTGACTTGATATATGTGTTAGTTAGGATTTATAGAATTTTATGGTAGGTTTAATTAAAATTCGGTTCGGAACGATTAAATTAGATTAAATAATGTTAATTTACACTTGTTTGAGTTATTACAAGTTTGCCACTTAGTGGCTTGATTCTAGACAACCTTTAATTGCTTTATGACATATTGGATGCATTTTTGCTCATCATCTTGTGACCAAAACGCGAGAGAGGGAGAAAATTGAGAGATTTGGGTCTTGGTTTAAGAATTTCATTCACAAGAAGGAAGCTTGAAGATTTGTTCATCTAGATTTGTTCATCTAGTTCATAATTCTAGCACCTAAATTCCAATTTAGCATCTAAGGTATGAAACTAAGCCTTTAATATGGGGTTGAGCTAATTTATGCATGAATTCTAGTAGTTAGAGCTAGAAGATGTGAGAATCAAGCTTACGGAGTAGAAAAGTAGATCAATCCATGCATGCATGCACAAATTTCCATGTTTTGAGTTGGAATTCTAAGATTTCTTCCATGCATGTGTCAATTTCACTCATATTATAGCCATTCAACTTATTTTCCATCAAATTATTAAGTTTGGTTAAGTTTTGGAAGGTTTGAATTCAAAGAGGTTCTTGCATGTTGAATTAATAGCATATTCATAAAGTTCATGTTGATTTTGCACAAATTGGTTTACTCTTGGGCCATGATTTCTTGAATTGAAGCTTTAAACATGTTGTTTTATGGGTTACCAAGTGTTTTCCAAAGTTTTGGCCTAGGAAATTGAGTTTTGGATGGTTGAATGTTGAATTTCATGTTTGGAGGTCAATCTGGATTTTCCAGAAATTTGACCCACGCTCGAGCGGGGACTTTCACGCTTGAGCGTGAAGCCTGAGTACATGCACTTCCGCTCGAGCGGCGAGAGTCACGCTCGAGCGTGAAATGCGTATACCCAGAAGTTTGTGTGTTTTGCAGTCCGCTCGAGCGGGGGAAGCCACGCTCGAGCGAGGGTCTGTGTCACACGCTCGAGCGGGGGACGAGCGCCCATCGAGCGTAAATTTCCTGCATCCAGCACTTTTTCATAAGTTTGCAGTTCGCTGGAGTAGGAAAGTCCACGCTCGAGCGGGGCTTCTTTTTCTGCATGTTCGCTCGAGCGGGGAAAGCCACGCTCGAGCGTGGACCTTATCTTCAGCAAAATTTGAGAAATGTTTTCCAAGGCATCTTTGCATACTCATTCCATCCTAGGCATTCCTAGGCCATGTTTAAGACTCTATAGTGAGGATTTAAGGTTAGAAAAACACTAAGAACCAATGACGTAAGTTTTGTGCAATTAGAATGTGTGTTTCAAGTGTGTGTCCGTTATGTGTTATGTAGGTCACGTGCCGCGTGTCGTGTGATCAATCTGCTCCGTCTGTCTGTTTCAAGGCCAACTGTGAGTAATAATTTAGTAAAGTTATGTTCAAACTGTATCTACTTTCTGTGTGATAAAACAAGATCTGTTTTTCGAAATGATATGTTCTGTACAATGAATGATTATTCAATTTCTGATATGTATTCGTGACATCCTTAGCATCATGTGATATCTGTTAGCTGTTACCCGATATCGGAGGTTCCTTTACAGAACTTATTTCTGTTTGCACTCTGTTACCTGTACCGGAGGCCTTGTCACGGGGGCTCAGCTTCTGTTCTGTTCTGTTACCCGGATCCGGAGGTTCCTTTATGGAACTGGTTATTCATAACCTCACGTGTATACGTTATGTTCTGTTCTGTTTATGCTAATGGATGTATCACGTAAACTTAATCATGACTTATGATTTCTGTCTGTATATGATCTAGACAAACTATGATTTTGATATGAACTGAATTATGATTTCTGAATCTGTACGAACTCATTCATTGAAACCCTTTACTCTCTTATTATTCACTAGGCTTTCGCTCACAATTTATATTATGTATGTAGATGAGCCGGCGTGTAACCAGGGCCAGAGTTGACGGCCTTCTATTCTGTTTTGTTAGCCAATTGTTGCGCCTCCTGAGGAGGTTCCGGTCGAAGTCTAATGCTATGGTTGTTTTTGTATTCATGCTAGTCTCTGTATGTGTTTTGTAAAGACAGGTCTTGGGATGTAATACTTTGTAAATATTGGTGTCCTTTGACTAGCATGCTTATGTATATATATAAGTTTTGAAATGTTCCGTCCCATGTACGTTATCACAGCTCATTGGACCTTGTCTATTTTGTATTATTGCTTTCGCAGCCCCTTATTATTTGCTAATCTATTCAGAGGCCTTTGGTAATCCACGAATTACTGGCCGGTTACGGTGCTAAACCTACAGGGGCGGGTTTGGGTCGTGACAGTAACAAAATTCCTGCATGCTGATGCTAAGGTTTGCTCTCTCATTTATGAAGTTTTCATCAAACAGTGCTTTTTTTTGGATTTTGAAGTTGAGTTAATATGTAAAATCCCTCTTTGCCCAAGGCTTGCTTATGATATACTGGTTTGGCGCTTTACTAAAAATGGCCTTTTTTTTTTGTTTAGTTGGCTTATCATTTGGAGATGGTTTTGCGAAGCAGAGAAACACAGGTCAGGTCAGATGCTGGGAGTTTTGAAAAGGCATTTTCAAAAAAGATTTGGTTACTGAAAATTCTGAATAAAGTGAAAATCTTTGCACGAAAAACATGTTCGAACATTCTTCCTGTTCAATCAAAGTTGAGGAGGTGCAAATTAATTCAATTCAGTGACTGTTATTTCCCTTTTGCTGTAGAAGTTTGGTCTTTAAGCCCTCTTTACTCTGTTCTAACTATGCCCTGCTTAAAATTTTCTATTCTTGATCTAGGAGTTTAGCCAATAGATGGCTGTATCGCCTTTGGGATTATTCTTTTTTCAATTCCTGGAGTATTTGGAACAATCACAATGATTAGGTTTTTTGCTAGGTACGTGGCTAATTACTTATAAGGTTATAACAATACATAGCTCAAGGTGGCGACTCTTGTTCAGCAAAAACATGGTTCTGTTGGGAAAATGGTTTATAACCATGAGGTTTTGCTAAATTTGGTGCCAAAATTAAGTGGAACCCACTTATTATTTTTGGTCGATCCAAAGGCAAAGCTGTTCATAGCTATGTGAAGATAAATATTATGTATTTGGTTGGTGAAAATCATTTATGGGTGAATGAGAAATCGACGCCAAAGTGAGCCATTGGAAATGACTCATGTTGGTGGGTTTCTACATTTGTAGTTATTCCATTGTCCTACATAGGAAAGAAGAAGGAAGATGAAAGGATTTACATAATCTAAGTTCCTAGAAAGGCTTGGGCCCTAAGGGACCCAAGTTTTGTAAAGGGGGAGGAGCAGACAAAGGTAACCCTAATTGGTGACCACCATATCCACTGGCTTAGATCTGGGTTGGGTCGAGGTCGTGAGTTTGGTCAAAAGATATTTTTTGTATATATTTTTTGCAGAGAATTGTTTAAATTATTTTATTCAAATTTCCCTCTAGTTTTATTTCTTCTTTTTCCTGAACAGGTGTGTCTGTTTAGATTCAAATAAAAAGTTTTCAATGGCAACCCTTTGTCATTGTTGCATTGGTTCAGACCTTTCCGAACAGGTTTCTAACAGCCTATATAAAGGCAACCCATTTCCAGAATTTATTAATTCAATTCCATCCTGTTTTTTGTCCTCTCTTGCATTATTCTTCATATTAGTTTTTGAGAGAATTAAGAGAGCTACAGAACATAGGTTTTGATTCGCTGTGCAGAATTGAGTGTAGTGCTGCTTCAATATTGCGAAGATCATTGTATCTTGGGAGATTGATGCCATCATACCGCAAACACTTGTACGGCGGCGAATCTATCTCAAGGACAGAGTGTCATACAGTCAACTTAATTATCAACTTTGTTAAATCTGTTTTCGGTACATAAATTCTGTAAGAAAATTTATTTTATTTGTTTCATTTGTTTCTATTTTTCTTATTGTACACAGAAGATTGTTCTAACAGTTTCCAATTGTGAAATATATTTTTCTTTATTTTTTGAGTGTTTTGTGAAGAAAATAACGGAAAGGATATGTGGACAGTTTAAATAGCGAAATCTACTAACTATTTTTGTTATTACCTTTTCGTTCTAAGGGGCTTGTTGTTGTGGAAACAAACTGTTGGATGTATTCATAATCATTGCCTACACTGCATTGCAATATTTTGCGCTTTTCTCAAGGTACTTTGGATGCTCTGATTTAAATTAAGGCTTTTTGTCTTTGTAGAAAACTAAAACTTTAAATGGAATGGGTTGCTATTTTACGAATTATAGAAATGTCATGAGGTTTTTTATTGAATATATTGATTTACTTTTATCTAGTCATGGTGAAAAATCTCATATATGATAAAGGAATAAGAGATATATCAAGCGAATTGACAAGGAATTTCTTTCCACAGACCACAATTGAAAATCCTTCCTAAGACACACACTTAGGCAAGACTTCTGATAATTTAGACTTCCACGCCTTTGCAAGAAGCAAAACTTTGTATAATATCACGTTGTGTTTTTAAACCTTTCTCCTTGCATGCTAGACAACATTTGACAATTACGAAACCACCTAGTTTAGCCTACAACACACTTTTTGTTTAATGCATTCTTATAGAGTTTTTTTTCTTCTTCAAAATTACATGTTAATCTGTTTAAACTTGTTGGGGAGTGGGCGATATGACAAAGAAAAAGAAGAAATCAAAAGGGGAAATTCGTTTAATAGTAATAAATGGTCTCTAAATCTTTGATAAAAATGTGTTTCTTTTCCAAATAATGGGGTCGACCGAAAACCAACATGTTATACACTGAAGAGAAATCCCTGGTTACTTTGTCACTCCGGAATTCTTTTGGCAAACTCCAAAACATGACATGGTAAAAAATG